GGGCTCTCCCAGAGGGTCAGAGGAATCGAACTCTGGTCGGCCATGTTGGCTGCGTGCAAGGCAAACGCCTTACCTGCTGTGCTTTTGCTCTAGCCCAAACTATAATAAAAATACATTAATAAAGTAACAAAAGCAGACTACATATCTTTCAAAATAGTGCTTTTTTATACTTTTATAAATTATCTGTGATGAGCTGGTTCAAGTGAAGAGTGAATGTGATACAGGTGGTTGAATTTAATTTTCTCTTTTCAGTAAATGAGCACAGACATTGAGGGAAAATATTTGGAGTAGACTATTGATGTGGCATTGGTTGTATTCTATAAACTTTACTTATTTGTACTATTTAAAAATAAGAGTGCTGACACTGAATAACACAGAACACTTTTGGAGGAGTGTGTTTATGGGCTGGGGGGTCACACTCTGAGGTTCTCAGGTGCTACTTTTGACTGTGTTCAGTCTTGATGACTTGATTTAAATATTGAGTTAAATTGGACTTAATGTCAAGCTCTTTTCTTCCTCAGAGGGTTGTATCACTTTTCTTTCCTGTATTTTCCCAAGAGTCATCCTTAAAATAGAATTCATCATTTCTTCTACCAATTTTCCCTAACCCTCCCAACTTTATTCCAGGAAAAAAAAAAGATGACAGAATGTGATCATTTGTCTCTTCATAGTCTGAGGGTGTTAAAGAGTTCTGAGTGGGAAAACAGATGGAATTATGCTAAAAGCACATGGCCTCTTAAAATTTTTTCTTTAAAAAGCTCCAGAACTTGTGCTTAGTAATGGAATAGGCTTTGCTATTTCTCAGAAAGGCTTAAAGAATCATCTTTTTCTCCTTGTTCTGACTCACCACTGTTGTCCAAGAACCAGAATATCCATTTGGATCAGTCATTGAGAAATGCTGATTAACTAGATTTTAATGACCTCTCCTGAAGTAAGTGATCATGAGTCTTAATTTTTCTGATAATGATGAGGTTTTTAGGTTTCTGAAGTTTCTGACTCAGTGGAAACTAGAATCTTTAACTCTCTTTACTATGCGATCATTTTTCTGCCACTATATAGATATATATGGTAAATATATTTTTTATAAATAATGATTCTGTGTACTAATTTTCTTCTTTGGAAAATTTAGCTTATTGAAATTAATGTCTGTCACTCTGGTTTTGGAAAAATAAAAGTGATAGCTCTTATTTCTAAATGAATTAAATTTTCTGTTTTGGATGCTTTTTGAAGTTGCTAAAAATAGCAGTAAGATCATTAATTTTTTTACTTTAAAGTATTTTAAAATGTCATTTTAGCATTTGACATAATAAACTTTAAAATGTTGAAAATTGGATGTCATTTCTTTGACTTTATCTTTGTTTTAAATGTCATAATGTTTATATTTTTAGTATGTAGTTACTATTTTCTCATGTACAAAAAACATTGAAAGAATTTAGCATGATCTTGTAATTTTGATGATTCTATTCCTGAGGTCTTCAAAGACAGACTGCAAATGATAAAAGTGAATATAAATGTGGCTATTTCTTAATTCCACTTTTGTAACCAATTTTGGAAAGCTACACATAGAGCATTGCAAACAAGTCCAATTATTTCATTAGTAAATCATTATAGGTAAATAATATCAATTTATTAATATGCTAAACTGATATGAAATGCAATATAAAGATAGATGTAAATTAGAGTAGTAGTTAAAAGTCCTAATTCCTAGTTTGTAATTCACATCTATTCAGCTGAAAAATATGGGTAACTCATTCAAAGTGATCTCTGAATTTTCTCATTTAAAACTGGTTATGTTAATAATAGGATTGTTAGAAAAGTACATCTTGGGTATTTATCATGCATTTATGTTTAATGCAGATGTTAAAATACTGAACACTCTAAGTGTTTCTAGCTAAAGCAGATTGGATATTTCCTGCTATACTCACTTATTTTTCTCTTTCTCTGTTAGACCCTATGCCTTTTAAAGGTAGGAAACATTTTACTACCCCAGAGTGTGACACATTGAATGTTCTTAAAAACTACACGGTCGTAGTGGAATGAACATTATTTTCATAACCTTTACTACCATATAAATCTATTCAGCTTGACCATTAACCAGGTCTGTGTATGTCCTAGAGGCAAACTTTCAATACTTTGCTCACAGGCTTTTGGTGTCTGTCTTCTTCCCAATCCCCCATCTCTTCTCAGGATGCTGCTGAGGTTGGTGAGAAGTCTAGATTGGGAGTTGAAACCATAGGGCTGTGTGACCTTTGCACTAACATGTGCCATGGGCCTCTATTTGTGCTGTGCACCAGCAGTGAGTTGAATAAAGCCCCTTCCCTGCCAAATAGCTGTGCAGTTCCTAACCTTTGTATACCTGTTATTGTGACCAAATCAGAAAACAGGGACTTTGTCAAGAAATATCGCAAGATAATATTATCTTCCTAAATGACTGCTATTCTTATAAAAGCAAAGGGAAAGAAGTGGGATAACACCTAGATAGGGAGAAGAGACACAGAGGGGAAGAAGTAGGTGACATAAAGATAGAGGCAGAATGGGGAGAGACAGCTGCAAGTCATGGAATTCCAAAAGTCACTAGCAGACATTTAGCATTAGGAGAAAAGCATGAAACATATTGTCCCTCCAAGCTTCCAGGAGGCATCAGCTTTGCCAACATCTTAATTTCCAAGTTTTGGCGTCCAGAGCTATGAGAGAATACATTTCTGTTGCTTGCAGCCACATTGTTTGCAATCATTTGTTAAGGGAGGCCTAGAAAACTAAGGAACATCTCTTGGTTCTGTGAGAGGTAAACTTAGTGTGCAGCTCTGTGTTCTTGAGTTACCGCCAGGGAACCCGGGAAGCAGCTCGGTACCCTCAAGCCTGAATTTCTATTTCGTCCTATCTTGGACTATGCCACAAAGTGATTTCCTTTTTTTAAAATTTTTTTTATTATTAGTTAAACACCATGAGGTACAGTTATAGACTTACAAATTTTTGTGCTTGGGTTTCAGTTATACAATGATCAAGTACCCATCCCCTTTGAAACCTACCGTCATGCTTTCCAAGCTCCCTACATTGCTTCTTCCCAGTTCCGTTTGGAGAACAGTCTTAGAACGACATCACTGGCACTGTATTAGTATTAGCTTTTAATAGTATCATTTTCTTCTCTCTTCACCATCAATGCCATGGAACTAAAAAGTGTCACTGTTTTAATACTTGCTTCAGGCCCTGCTTTGAAAAAGGGAGCGAAGAGAGTAGATGGATGACATATAAGAATTACAAGTAGGCTTTGCTTTTTGAAATTGAATTCACATCCCCCAAAACTCCTGGTGAAGTAGGTTTTTCTTCACAAAGACGAGGTTGAATTTCCAGCCTAGTTTCAAACATTTATTTAAAAATATTTCCCAGAATTAGATATAAAAGACGATAAATCTAATATTTTTCTAATCTTTTAAATAGGCCTAAAGATTGGGCGTAAATGCACTGTTTATATTGAGGTGAAATAAATCATTAGTTTTCTTTCAAGGATCTCAAAATAATACAGGAATTTATGACACTAAAACTTAGCTTAAGATTTCATTGTCAATAATCACTTTTTTTCTATCACAGTGGTGACTGGAGTTCAGCTGAGTTGGGAGAGAGGTGAGATATTAAGCATGGGATTAACTTAATAGTAGATGAAATCAACAAGCCAAAATGGAAAGAGTTAAACCTTTAATCATTTGCTAAAATGATATGAGTGTAATCTAAAATTGAAGAAAGTACCAACTCTCTATTCCATTTTCCTTTTTGTGATAATGGTTGAGAGGGCAGGGAGGCAGAGGAAAAGTGAAAATGTAGTTTTTTTAATATTTAATAGCACATACATTTGTAATATGCATATACACACATTTATGTACAACATTATAACATGCATATAAATAATTTTAAAAAACCGCTTTTGGTTTTTTTCAGAAGTTGAATTTACTGAGTATAATTAAAGTAGTTGTTAGAAATAAGCAACCTCTCTTAAAAACTGATTTGAAGCCACTTTGGATAGTTTAGATAGATGTTATTCATTTTTGAATATCATAAACATATAATTCTGCAGCATTACATATTTGCTTAAAGTAATACAACTGCATCAATTTACATCAAGTGAAACATATTAGACAAAGCTTAATAATACACTATGCTATTTTGGGTCACAGGAAGCCAGTGATATTGTGTACTCAGAGATAAATTATATTTTCACTTTTGTATTTGTTTGGGAGCACCGAAGTACCAGACAAATATATACAATTAAGACAAAGTTCTATGAAGAACAACAAAACAATTAGGAAAATCAGATGATTCAATTGCTAAGTAAAATTAAATTAAAATTAAATTGACAAATCGTGAATAGTCTGGTTAAGAAGTAACTAAGTTAGAACCAGCAATTCATATTCTATTTGTGAAGGCTGTATACCAAGTGTGACATAAAGTAAACAGGAGATGTTTTAGTAAAATACAAATTTTAAGTATTAATAGTTATGTTAATATAGGCAATGTTAAACAATGTATAAATCACCACATTAAAGCAAATTAATTTATTTAGCTCATACAGCTATTCCTTTCTCCCTCCTTCCTTTTTTTCCTCACTCCCTGCCTCCCTTTCTTCCTTATTCCTTCCCTTCTACCTTCCTTCCTGTCTCCCTTTTTGTGGCAAGAGCATTTAACTCCTTTAGTAAATTTCAAATTTATATGTGAAATCTTAAACAGACAAGCTCCTGGAAATAGAGAGTATTGGTTACCAGGGACCAAGGGGAAGGGAAAAAAGGAAGACATTGGACAAAAGGAACAGTTCTAGATCCACAGGATAAGCCACTTTTAAAAAGTGTGTCCAGGGGCTGGAGCAATAGCACAGCAGGTAGGGCGTTTGCCTTGCACGAGACCAAGCCAGGTTTGATTCCCAGTATCCCTTATGGTCCCCTGAGCACAGCCCAAAGTAATTCCTGAGTTCATGAGCCAGGAGTAACCCCTGTGCATTGCTGGGTGTGCCCAAAAAGGGCTTCTGCTGTGAGTGGCAAATGCAGGGACAGCTCGCTTGCTCTTTGTGCGGAATCAACATCAAGAGATTTCAAAAGCATGTTTGACAGTAGGGCCACTAGTGAACATTGATACTGGCACCCCAAGGTGGGGCGTGTATGTCCATATGATTTTCAAATAATATATTCAGCATTTTCCTTTCATCTCTAGATAACTTCTGTTTTTAATTTTTAAAGAGAATTACCTCTAAATTTAGGACAGTCTGTCCCAACTTAAATAAACAAATAAATGCCGTACTCAGTAATAAAAATGCCTGGGAACACTGGGAAAAAGTAAGATAAATTTCAAGGCAATGGAGAATAGAAAACACTACACAGAGGACAAAATGGTGATTTGAATATTAAAAGCAGTATAAGTGTCATATCCGTCAAACATCCAAGGAAGATCATTTGAGCTTTGAAAACAGTGTACAGCGGCACTGGTACAGTGCCATGGCAGACTTTTGGAAATCCAACTGATACTGAACTACTCTAGTTAAAACAAGAAGAATCACATATCAATGATCCTTATGTTAAAATCCTGACTCAACTCTTTACTACCTTCACTAACCTGAGTAAGTTATTTAATCTATAGTGATTCATTTTCCAACTCTAAAATCTAAGCATGGCTAGCAATGATCCTGTAAAATCACGATCATTGAAATGTTAAATACATGAAAAGCTCTTGGATTATAGATTTAGGGAACTGCAACATAGAGTTAAAGTTTAGGAAATGGAAAGAGATTGTTGTTAGCACCCTAACCATTAGAACAATCTGATAAACTACAGAAACTGAGTTTTAAACTTCCTAAACTGCCTCCATGACCCAAAGAATCTTAAATAAACCTAAATAAACTGAAATCCGGGACACTGCGCCAGGCTGTTTTCACTGGGGGCGCCCCAGAGAGAGGAGGGTGAGAGCCCTCCTCACCCCAAGGAACCCAGCCCTGGCAGCCTACCTCCACTACCCAACTGCCACCACGCTCCAGGCTGCTTTCCACACATTCAGACCGAGCCTCACATATGAGTGAACATATTCCTGAACACATCATAAGACACTCCTTACCCATTTTCCATAATTACCACACCATCATATATATGTATATATTATATATGATATATATATGTGTGTGTGTATATATATATGTACCAATACATTGGGAAAGACAAGTAAGGAGAGGTTGCTAAAATCTCAGGGCTGGCATGAATGGAGACGTTATTGGCACCCGCTCGAGTAAATCGAAGAACAAGAGGATGGCAGTGATACAGTGATAAACCAAAACCCACAGTGGAAAAGAGAGAGAGAGAGAGAGAGAGAGAGAGAGAGACAGAGAGAGAAAGAGAGAGAGAGAGAGAGAATACCTCTGTCTCACATCCTGAGAGAAACAATAGGATTCTGCCAATTAGGGCCTTAGGGGGGCCACTAAATTTTAATGCGCTTTAAGCTGAGAACTTATTTGGTGATTTAGAATCCTGAGGAATGTTAGCTATCTAATGGGTCAGTATTCACCCAACAACCACTTCCTAAAGGTCTTTAATAATTATGTATTAGTTTTGCAAGTACCAAGCTTGAGGGCAAGGCTGGAAACCTTACCGAAATGTGAGAAGGCTGAGCAAATGTAGAATTGGAGGCCTTCACTGAGTACAGAGCAATGGAGGAAATGGGTATCCGAGAGAAACCTTTTGGAATCACTCCAGAATTTACCAAGTGCAAGGAGTGATGGCTTATGGTTTTGGAGGGAGCAGGAAATGCTGAAACATTCTCTTAAGCCTCTGCAGGCCTTAATTGTGTGTACTTGCAAATGCTGTGGGAAGGTGAAGCGGAATGAAAAGAGAGCTCCAAAAGTGGAGAAAACCTGAAAGGAGAAGGAAAGAGATTTTCTCCAGTAAAACAGATATCTAGCTGTAAAGTTAACAAATCAGAGAATTGTCTTACACCAGGAAAAAGCCAGATACTTGTCTATTTTTGTTTGTTTGTTTTGGTATGGCTCCACACTCCTACTTTCAGGAGCTACTTCTGGCTCTGCAAATTACTTAGTGGGCTCATCTTGGGAGACCATATGTGATTCCAGAGATCAAACGCGGGTCAGCAGCATACAAAGCAAGTGCCCCACCTATGTACTATTTCTCCAATTTAGGTACTTGTCTAAATCAACAGTAAATACTTAGAGCATTGCTGGTGTTAAGTTTGCAAAGCCTGTTGAAAGGAAAGTTCTGATCGCTTCATCAGTGGTAAACTAAATTAGGGATGTCAAAAGCCCCAAGTTCAAATTCAGGTTTAAACAGCTGGAAGCTGTTTGCTAATAGCCCTGCATGAGATGCCTGGCAGAAGAAGGACTGTGTTCATTCCTATAAACACGTTTTTCCCTTGGGGCTGGAGGTAAGGTGCTTCTCAGGTAGAGAGAAGACCCAGGTTCAATTCCTGGCACCCCACCAGCAGTGATACTGTGGTACAGAACCTGAATTAAGCCCTCAACACTGTTGAGTGAGTCCCCAACACGAAAGAAAACAAAAAAGGCAAAATGTAATCTTCGCTTAGAGTCCCTTCAGTTTTAACTGTTCTTTGCAATATGGTTTAGTATAAATTAAACAGTGAGAAGTCAGAAGAAATAAGAGAAGGTGACTTGTAAAAAGAAAACAGTTGACACAGTTACAGCCTGGATACAATCTAGATACAAACATTGTTAGGTAAGGGATTGAAAAATTTCTATATTACCAAGCATCCCAGAAGACTAGTAGAAAATGTATGTTTTGTGAATCATTGTGTGGAATTTCAGCAGAACACTATAGACTATATAAAACCACAAATAAAAATGCTGAACTTCAAATATGTAGTATATAAACCAGTAATGGCTTGGTTTTCCTTAGCAGGTAGATAAAGCATCAGAAAGAATCACGGAGTTTTAATATAAATAGAGATTATTTAAACTAAAACAAAGCAGTTAAATATTAGAAAAAATTAAAAGCATTGGAAAATATGGGGCAATATTGAATAATCTTATATTTGTGTAGTTGGAATCCCTATTTGAAGAAAAAATCAGAATAAGCATAAGAAATATTCAGATAAATAATGTTCTTTTTTCAAAAATAAAGATATCATCTACAGATCAAGTAACAGTAAAATTAATATATATAAATTAATACAAGTAATTTTTACTTGTATTTAATACAACTAAAACCAAATTTAAATACATTGTGTTTAATCATTGTAACCAACTGTCTGACGGAAATCTTAAAATGAGTCAGAACAGAAAATAAACACCAACAGGAGAGTGAAAAGAATAGCTAACTTCTCAGATACAGGGAGATTAAAACATGATAAAACATTTTTATTTAATTCTATTTTATTCCGTTTTGGGGCCATACCTGGCTGTGTTCAGGGCTTTTTCCTGGCTCTGTACTAGGAATCCCTCCTGGTGGGCTGAGGGATGACGTGAAGTGCCGGGGATCAAACCTACCTTGCCTGCTATGCTTTCTCTTGAGTTTCCTGAAAACACTTTTCTTGAAGTACTGAAATGTTTTCCATCATTCTAAAATTTACATTCTACAAAAAATATCTTTGAAACATTTCTGGCAACTAAAGCTAAGATCTTTGTCGACAGTCAGTTTTACCCTTAAATAAATTACTAAAGAAAGATGAAGTGTAAAGATTTCAGACCAAAGCTCAGATCTGTAGAAGAAAATGAAGAAAAACAAGGCAACTATGTAGATAAAAGTTGAAAACTTTTTTGAGTTTATATGCATATTTCCATATATATGCACACATATTTTTACATGCATACTTATCATGGAAACAATTATTCAGGGTACCTATTTGTATGTATATGTCATATATAAATTGTTAAAGTGAGAATTATAGGACATGAGCAGAATCTCTTATTAACACAAATATATAAAGGTAATGGTAAGAAATATAACTTAATGAGTACCTTTTGTGTGCCAGGACACTTTTACACATTTAACTGAGATTTATAGTTCTTGTTTTATAGAATAGTGAGTGGAAACTCAAGTAAGGAAACCGCCCAACACTGTACAGCCACTAAGTTGAAAAACAAGAATTTGAGTCTGTCAGTAATTAACACAGACTTGAGGGTCAGTATTGAGAGAGAACTTTTTTTGATGAAAAACTTTTTGCTACTTAGTAAGAATTTTTCTAATTTAAAAGTCCTTTTAAAAAATTAATAAGAACTTTGTTCATTTCACTGCACTAAATTGATAGAGTATTCACCACATAAATGATTAGGAATAAAAACCATTTAAAATTTCTTTGTGACTCATCATAATGCTTTGGTATTTATATTTTCATTTGCATACATATTCATGAATTGTGAGTTACAAACGTGTTGTCTATGTTGAGAGTAAAGTTTTATCAAAATGAGACAAATACAGAAATAAATAGGACAATTTATAATAACCTATAAAGTAGGGGCTAATAGTTGAGAAAACTCTGAGTGGCATTCAGGGGAATTAAGATGGGCTAAATGACTAAGATTGGTAATAATGATTCATTTCTAAATGTGAAAGATAAAAAGTGCTGCTGTGAACTGGTGAAATGAGATCGTTTGGGGTAAGAATGATCTGGAAAGATAGACTTGCACCACACCGTGATGTGAAAGGGTGTCTCCGATAGGGTGTGACAAAGTGTAACTTACACAGCAGGTGTCTGAGGAACAGAAATCTATTGATTTCTTTTTTCAAATATGTGAAAGTCCTCTTGGCCAGTGTAAGGCCATTGTAAATTAGTGTAAAACAGTGCTATTCTTCAATAAATAAAAACAAAACAAACAACCAAAAAAAAAAAAAAACCAGCGTGACTCGTTTTCTTTACTTTCTTATTCTCCCACACCACCCCACGTTCTTCTCCATTTCCTTTCCCTCTCCTCTTTTTTCTCACATTTTTTTTGCCCCAGCCCAGGCCTGGCAGTAACAGCTTAGTGACACCCTCCTGGTTCCCAGAACTACTCTGCTTATTCACAGTCCAAGTATTCTGTCACACTACTGTTGAACGCATCATTTAAATAAAACCTCTGTTTATATGGGCATGCAGCTGTGAGGGGAACACTGTAACTCCTTCAGGGAAGAAAATATATATAGGAATCAAAGCCAG